ATAATTACTAATCTCCTCTCTGAGATTAGGAGAGCATGTAATTGAGGAACAAGTGCAGTCCTCAGCCATGCACTTGTGTCCCAACTCTTACCAGTTGCAGGCAGCTTCAGCTGCTTATTGAAGCTAAGCAGCACTCATGCCGGTAAAAACTAGACTGCACTACTGCTCTGCATTGACTCAGCTGTCAGACATCTCAGCTTTGGAGAAGGTAATAATTGCACACAGTCAGTCTCTGTACTTATTAGGAGGGAAAATGACCTCACACTGTGAAGAAACATACTGCTGTATGGACATACTTCAGTCCTTAAGGGCTTCAAGAAGAGCCATGGTCCTACCTCTGTTCTTTCTGCTTTCAGCCTTACAAGAGACCCCCGTGGAGCCTGTGGCTCCAGTCCAGGGAGGCTGTAGGACAGACATTTCTTTGCTGCAAGCAGACAGGGAAAGTACTTTGTACAGCTGATCTGCACTGCTCCTCCTGACAGTGGTGATGTATTCCCTGCTATTTCATAGATTACAGTGCAGCAAACAATCAAATACATACTGCCACTTATTACCATAGTCTATCAGAGTGTTCACAACAGGAAATGGATGCTTCAGTATCTGTGGGCTGGAGAGAAGTTACTTGTTTATACCAGGGCTCTATTTGATGGCTGTTAGCCAGGTTGATCTCTGGTTTCTGGCCTGTCTAATGGACAACTTTTTGATTGTCTATTAGAAATCATTTACCAAGTTGTTGTTGGCTTCCTCCCTGCTTGCAAACAGATGTCACACTTGTACACTAACCTCGGCTGTTAGTAAGTCGCAATTCAAATCAAAACAACCCTCAGATGGTTAACTTCAAAAGCTTAACTACTGCCTTCAGGCACTGCCTTCTTTTAGCTGACCATCACTGCTCCTTGGAATCAGCTTTGTGTCAAGCCCTTTCCCATCTAAACTCTTCCTTTAGACACTGACTATTCAACTCCTATCCTGCCGTCTTTCTCTCCTCCAAGGCACTGGTAAGACCCTGGAGAATTCTGTGTTAACACCCACCATGACCTACACCTTAATGTTGCATAAAAGCTAATCTTTGCTTTTGGAAAAAAAAGCACAATTGTAAGCTTCTATCTCCAGAAAGAACCAGCCAATGGCATTTGCTTGGATTGAAAGATCCCAGCCTTTCCCTCATCCCTGTGGAAAACAGGTATGAGGACCCTTTAAATTGCATACCAGCTGGGTGCATATTCCCAAGTGTTCACTCAAGTTCCCTTTACCAGGCATGGCTAGAGCAAAATAATAGTGGTAGGCAGATGTCAGATGTGTCCAAAAAATGGAGAACAGGAAAAAAAGGGTTCTTCTAGTCTATATCAAAATGATGTGGAAAATAGGCCTGTGCCAATTGAAATCTAATAAATCTAAACTATATTTCCTAAGTAAGTGTAAGGCTAAAAGAACCTTCTGGAAGATTTTACTACAAGGAAATTAGGGTTTTTTGCTTAAGAAATCTTTCTTACCTGCAAGAGGCATCTTTCGCAGGGATATTTTTAAATGCTTTCTTCTTCTGCATTCCAGAGAAACTCTGCCTGCTATGAGAAAAAGATGAGTCATTGCAGACACGTTTGAAGGCCCCACAGAGGGGAAGGCCAGGGATGATTGGACAGTCACAGAAAACACATGAGAAGAACAGGGGGTATGTCTTTCCCCAAGCCTGATGTTTGAAATGTCATTAAGATTAATGTTCTTTAAGTCTACTGTCCTTGGCTTTGGAAATTAATTTTCCTACAATCTTTCCACTGCCTGGCATTTTGGGATACCTGCACATTATCTTACTTCAAAATAAGTATAGACTTCAAGTCTTTTCTTCTTAAAATGGGTTGCTCTATGTTTGTAGAAATTAGTCAGTCTTACAGCTTTACTGCAGACAGTATGGCAGCTGTCTGCCCTGTTGAGACACAAAAGGGCAGATTCCCCAAAACTGTTTCTGGTAGGACATGCCCAGGAGTATTTTAGGAAATTCCGAAAGATGTGCAGTCCGTGCGTGGGTGAGAGAGTGACAGTTCTCATTAGGTCATGGGATATAACCAAGAACATGTGATGCCTGAATAAATTTGGAGTGATTAGAATGCTTGTGAAAATCGAAGACATTACAGGTTGCAACAAGTAATCTCCTACTCTTTTTTTTTTTTTTTTTTTTTAACATACAGACTTGTAATCCCATTACATATGTTGTAAACAAAATTCCGAGCCAAATGTGTGATTTAGAGACAAATCACTCCACTTTTCCTATAGTTTTTCTCTTTTTATGTTTTGTGATGGTGGGAGAAGACATCATTTTTTTCTTTAATGCTTTCAAAGAAGTAATGCCCCAGATTGTATGCAAGCATTATAGATACAGTGGTATATATTTTTTCTTATTTAACTATATAATTAACTACAGGAACAGTAGCTTAAGAATAATTCAGCAAGCTAGAATCGTTCAGCACTCACTGCAACTTTCTTTTTGCAGTATGTAAATTTTTAAAAAAGACATGCAGGCATTTTTTCCCTGTTTCAAATAGACCTTGGGTGTTTCAACTGCCCCTTGGGTGAACAGAATTTGAGGCTGGAACACTATGCAGGATCAAGGTATCTGTTAAGGCCAATGCTGCCTGATCAAGTAGTCTGTTTTCCATAACATATATCTGAACAAGTTGCTCCCACAGGCTTTTCCATTTCAGGTGCTTCTGTGTTTTCATTCATGACTGTGAATACAATGGAAAATAACCCTAGAGTGCCATTAACAGTGTGTGTGCAGGTAGGGCAGTGCTGAAGAAGGCTAGGGGCAGGATTGGTGCTGAAACTGTGCCAATTTTGCAGGCACTCAATGACTCAAAGAAATCTATGGTGTGCTCACTATCATAATCTTTTTAGACCTTGTACTAATGACCAGAATATTGCCCTGATCCCAAGGCTAAGTAGAACAGATTTTATTACAAGGCTATTTCATTGTATGATAAAAGTTTTGCCTTTCAAAGATGAAACAACTTCCACTTAGTTGTGCAGAATGTTTTGCATAAAAGTTCAAGACTGTGCTTGACTACAGAGGCTGAAGGGTGTGATTCAGACCAAAGTGTACCAAAAGCTTACAAATCAAGGTAGAATTTATGCTGCCTTCCATTTCTGCTTCTGAGATAGACTTACTTTCAGCTTTCCCTGTACATATAAGTATGCAGTTACTTTACTTCCACAGATACATAACTTATGTTTGTCTTCTTATGTGTCCAGTTACAGATTTTCACTTTAAAGTAAATTTCTAAACGTACATCTGACAGCATTCTGGGAGAAAGGGCCCCACTACTAAAACCGTTAAAGATCATCAATACAACAAGTGTAGGTTTTGTCATTGGACAGTCACAGAAAACGTATGAAATTCTTTTAATTATACTTCCAATGAACTGTGGACCTGTTTAAGGCAAACAAAGAGTTGGGCAGAATACATACAGTTGTCTGTATTTTTCAGTTGTTTCAACAGATATAATGTTAAATGCACTTGTGTCCTGGTTTTGGCTGGCATAGAGTTAATTTTCTTCACAGTGTCTCGTGTGTGTTTTGTCTTTGTGCTGAAGACAGGGTTAATAACATAGAGATGTTTTTGTTATTGCTGAGCACAACTTACATGGAGCCAAAGCCTTTTCTCCTTTTCAGACTGCCACAGTGGTGAGGAAGTTGTGGCTATATGGGAAGCTGGGAGGAGACACAGTTGGGATGGGTGACCCCAACTGACCAATGGCATATTCCATACTGTATGACATCATGTTCAGTATACAAAGTGGGGGAAGGAAGGAAGAAGAGGGAAACATTTGAAGTGATGGTGTCTTCCCAAGTAACCATCGCATGTGAAGGGGCCCTGGTCTCCTGAAAATAGATAAACACCTGCCTGCCCATGGGAAGCAGTGAACTAATTCTTTTTTTTCCCCTTTGCTTTTGTGTGTGGCTTATCTTTTCCCTATTAAACTGTCTTTATTTCAACCCACGAGTTTTCTGGCTTTTACCCTTTCAATTCCCTCCTTGATTCTGCTGGTGGGAAATTGAGTGAGTGGCCATGTGTAGTTTGTTTTCCAGCTGGAGTGAAACCTGGACAACTTGAAAATCCTTGTCTTCTGGTCCCACCTTCCACTTAAAAATACTTTCACCACTAGTTACTTAGTTAACAGTTAACTTAGTTTCTTAGTTAACTCCCAGTAAACTGTGAGTTTTCAGGCAATTTGAAAAAGAAGATCACAGAAAATTCCTGTTGAAATTCATATGGCCTCAGGAATCTCTGACCCAGGAGACAAGGATAAAGCAATGTTGAAAGGTAGACTTTCCCTTGGTCAAGGAGGGTCAGGTAAGAGAACACCTGGGCAAACCTGACGCCCACAAGTCCATGGGCCCTGATGGGGTGCACCACAAGTGATGGGAGAGCTGGTGCCTCATTCTGGAGGCCATCTCTATCCACATGAATGACAAGAATGTGATCAGGAGTAGTCAGTATGGATTCAATAAAGGTAAATCATGTTTGACCAACTTGACTACCTTCTGTGATGAAGCAACTACCTAGATGGACAAGGGGAGAGCAGTGGACATTGTCTACTTCGACTTCATCAGGTTTTTGACACTGACTCTCACAACACCCTCATAAACAAACTCAGGAAGTGTGGGCTGGATGAGTGGACAGTGAGGTGGACTGAGAATTGGCTAGATGGCAGATCCCAGATGGTCACAGTCAGTGGCACAGGGTCCAAGTTGTGGCCTGGTACTAGTAGTGTCTTCCCAGGGGTCAGTGTTGGGCCCAGTATTGTTTAACTTACTCATCCATGAGTTGGATGAAGGGGTGGATGCCTCCTCTGCAAGTTCATTGGTGACACAAAGCTGAGGGGAATGGCCAATACCCAAGAGGGCTGTGCAGCCCTTCAGAAGGACCTTGACAAGTTGGAGTGTTGAGCAGAGAGGAACTGTGTGAAATTTAAATGCAAGTCCTGCACTTGAGGAGGAATAACCCCATGCACCAGTGCAGTCTGGGGACTGACCTGCTGGAGAGCAGCTCTCTGGAGAAGGACCTGGTTGTCATGGTGGACAAGCTGCCCATGAGCCAGCAGTGTGCCCTTGTGGCCAAGAAGGCCAAAGGTATCCTGGATTGTGTTAGGAAGAGCACTACCAGCAAGTTGAGGGAGGTGATCCTGTCCCTCTATTCAGCCCTGGGGAGGCACATGTGGAGTACTGTGTCCAATTTGGGCTCATCAATACAAGACAGACACAAAGTTCCCACAGTGCATCCAGTGGAGGGCTACAGAGCTAATTAGGGGACCAGAGCATGTCTCTTACAAAGAAAGGCTGAGGAAGCTGGGCCTGTTCAGTCTTGACAGCAGACAACTGAGAGGGGACACCATCCATGCTTTTAAGTATCCAAAGGGAGGCTGTCAAGGGGATGGAGCCAGACTTTTCTTGGTGGTACCAAGCAGCAGGGCAAGAGGCAATGGGGAGAAACTGATGCACTGTGAGTACCACCTGAATATGAGGAAGAACTTCTTCTTTACTGTGTGGGTGACCATCCACTGGAACAAATTGCCTAGAGAGGTTGTGGAGTCTCCTTCACTGGAGAAATCCAAGAACCATCTGGATGAAATCCTGTGCAATGTGCTCTAATATGAGGTTGGACCAGATGACCCACTGTGATTGATGGACCACACGACTTCCAATCTTACTCATACTGTGATTCTACGAAGATAAACCACTCCTTCAGGTCTGAGTTGGGCTTCTGCACAGAAAGCCCTGAAGTATTTGGAGGAGGGGAAAAATAATTTGCAAAATTTTGATACAGGATAGAAAACTTTTTCCTCAAGAGGCTTGATCAGTGTGTGTCTGCCTTGTAACTTAACTTTTAAGATTATTGAAGTTATCTAGACTTCCCTGAGTTGAAAAACTTAAGAGAAACTACATGTCTAAATAGCAGACAACAATGACATGTCTAAATAACAGACAACAAATACTGTTGTGACTGAAGACAACAAAGAAAAATCTTATTTGCAGCACCTTGGATTAAATACGCATTCATCAAGTCATGTGATGAATTTGATTACCACTTGATGTTTTCAACTCAGAGGAGACCTAACGTAGCTTTTCATGTAGCTTTACTCTCAGACAACACCAATGACAAGTGTGACACCCCCCTGAGTCACACTAATGCCCATCTGCACCATAAACTCACATCTTTCATAAATGTTCTCTGTTGTTTCATGCCCACAGGAGTTGTCTTTCATGCAAGACACCCACATATCTCTGGATGAAACCAGACTTTCAGCTTTACACACAAAGCCCAGCTGAGCGGCCTCTGAAGTTAATCCTTTGAAAGATCGCCACTGGTCAAGAAGTGCTACTGCTGCTGCCTGTTCCCACTAGTCAGTGGGTCCTTTGTATTTCCCTTGGAACAGAATGAATTCTCTTTCCAAAAAAAATCAGTCAGAGCTGCAACTTACATAGACTTTTTACAAAGTCTGTTTTCACTGGGAGAAAGCCTGGAAGAGCAGCCTTATCCAGAAAGCAGTATCACACACAGTGAGCAGGAGAAGACCCCACCCCTCCATACACTGCTGATGTCCTGTCAGAGATCATGTTCTCCTGCCTGTCATCCATGTTTAATTAATTCCTCTTTGCGGGATCGTAACACCTCTGAAAAGTCACCTTAGACCAGAACTAAGCCTCATTCATTATTTAACTTCCTATAAATTTCGAGTTCATGGAATTTAGTGGATAACGGGTTTTGTTAAAGACCCCTCCCAACTTCGGGGACTGTAACTGGTTATCTGGTTAATGAATTTGGTGGAACAGTTATATAACACAACTGAAAGTCTCTTCATGATTGCATGCAATAGGAATTTTCCATCAGGTACTGTGCAAATGTGTAGGGAAAGGAAGTATTATAGACAACAGCAGCAGCTAGAACAGCAGGCTGTCTGGTTAATCCGTTTTTTTATGTGCCTTTCAAGAATGAGCTGGAAGTAAACATGCACTGTGTTCAGACTCATCATTTATTAGAGATTAAAGAGAAAATTATCTGATCTTCCTGATATCTTAATACCAAACATACCTAAAATGATGCTTTTGAACATCCCAGGGCCAGAGGAGTAGGCTACACTTTTGCCATATAAGGGTCACTCGTTCATGAAGAGACTTATAATTTAAGGAAAAAGACAAAATGGTGCCTCACTCAGCGCATCCTATCATTTTTCGGTGGACTGTTTTCCCTCCCGGCAATTTTGCACTGAAAGTTAATGACCTGACTCATGCTGTCTAGCCAGACAGGGACACAATGCTATCAAGCAATGGGTGGAGAGCAGGGGATTAAAAACTGTATGCTTTAAGGGATATTTCCTAGTATTGGTATTGTATCTGGCTCGAGAAAAAACGTCTAATAACAAACTTAATTAACAGCCTGTCTGGACCAAATGCAATTCCCAAACGTCCTCCTCAGATGCAGAGGGACAGAATTGTAAATCTGGACTCCATTCAAATACACAAAATATCTCCTTCCTAGCGGCTGAGCAAACATCGCTTTATGGTGATACACCCCATAACACAGACAGCTGGAAGGCGTTGCTGCAGACAAGTGAAAGATGTGGCCTGCAGTACCTAAGATCTTTCATAGCCTGAAACAGAAAGAAAAAATTTTGCTCCATTGGAGGCCTTGCACTTTGTGGTGAAAGCAGTTCTTTAGTTCAGCTATCTTATCACTAAAAAGCTACTGTACCCAGCAAAGCTACAATGGAATTTACCAGAAATCACATGCATACCTTCCAGGGCATAAGCAAACATGAAATAAGTAATTATCCCTCACATCATATTTGTCCAAGTTGTTCTTTCTCCTTCGGCAGTTTGCAGAATTCTTGTCTATTTTGTCTGGAGCAACTTCATTGCATCTTTTAAGACGAATAGTACTAAATTATGAAAGTACTGAGCAAATGTTTAAAAAAACACATTTTTTTTACATTTGGCTGTAATTAAAAGCCAAAAAAGATTTAAAAAAGAAAAAAACCTGGAAATAAACCACAGCATAAATTTTCAAGGAACAAAGATGCATATGCACCACTGCACCACAATCACACATCTTGGATGTTCTCTAACCATTCAGCTATGTTTTAAGTGCAGTTATAACATCTAAGACCTGATATGTCATCTAAGACAAGAGAAATGTCTGCAATGTGTACATCCATTGAGAAATACGAGTGTTCCTTCTGCACATGGTAACTGTATTCATGTACAAATACAGAAGTTAGTGTGATGGCAGCTCAGCTTGTTATTTATTTCTACTGCTCAAAAATCTGTATATGACCCTGTTAGAGGCAAGCAAGGTGGCAATATGTTTTTCTTCTTGTATGCCTCCTATACAGTAAACACAGTTGCATTAAATTGTCTTAGATTCTATAAACAATATACAACTTTATAAAAATTACAGGAATTTTCTGCCGAGGCCACACACATAAATTCAGTGTCAAATACAATCTAGCCTTCTAGCTTTTATTTTCTTTTACTTGAATTGTGACTAGTATAGACAATCAGGTTACAAGGATTAAGGCTGTTTGGTCTCCAGTGGAAAATATTCTCTTGCCCACCTACAGCAAACAATGTTTCTTTGGGATATTTAAATGACCTTTGACATGTAATTCTTTAACAGGAGCTGCAAAATATAAGCCTTGATTTTTAAAGGAATATTTGGGGGGGAGGGGGAGGAAAGAAAACTTTAAATGTCCTTATTTAGCTACACCACCACCCAGCTAGGAGCACAACACCTATTTGCTGTTTTCTGCTCACACATCTCTTTCCCCAAGACTTTCTGATGTATCTATCACTAACTAACCAGAGCAGTCCTAATAAAGCAACTATGTGCAAAAGTCCCTTGTGAAAGACTCTGCAATTTACAATCAAGCATGCTGTTGCTGGGCAGTGAAGGAAGGCTCCTGGGGGAAGATCAGCTTGGTTTGTTAAGTATTTTGGCATGTTTTCAGCATCTGTTTTTCGTCAGAGCCTTGCAACTGCAGCTGTAAGAAAAAGATGAGTCAGACTTCCACTCCCTTGGTGTTCTGTGACCAAGATAGTCTAGTTACAAAAAGAAGAAGAACCAGTTTTTGGAAAGCTGAATCACTTCACTTGAGAGAGTGGGACAAGGCTATGGTACAAAGCAATCTCAGGCTGGACACAGAATAGAAAAAATAAATCTTGTAGATACTGCATGTGTCTTCTAGGTGAATGAAAATTAGAAGGCAGTGGGGAAAGATGCTTTAAAGTGAGTGAAAGACAGCAATGGTCAGGCTTAAGAAGGGGTATTTATTTTAAAGCTTCCCTCTTTTTAAAGAAAATATGTAGGAATGTACACTGAGAGAAAGTTTAACATCCATTGAAGACACAGTTCATGAAAAAGTCAAAGGCTCACCTAACTAGATATTGCCTGGGTTCAGTTATTTTTTAACTGTGGTGGTAGCCTTTCTTCCACTACTTTGCACTCTATTATTGTTTTTCATGACCTAGTGAGACAATTTTGTCTGAAACTTCTCAGAATTACTTTCTGACTTCCCTTACTTGAGAAGTCTTCCCAACAGTTTGCTATTACTTGCCTCCAGAAATGCTAGACCTCTGTATCTATAGTTTAGTTTGGGATACAGGAAGTATTTTAACACTAACTGTGTTTAAATCACTACCACCTAGACAGCAAAACTCTTTACTTTTGTGACTTTTCTTTATTTTTGAGACAAATAAAGGACTGGTATTTTTTTTTTTCTGCCTAGAGATGCACAATGAGCTAAGACTCTCATAAATAACTTTGTATTTTTATAGAAGTTCACTTTTTTTTTTGAGGTTTCACAATCTGTTCTCCCTCTTGCTCATTTGTCCTAAAATTCAGTGCAAAAAAAACCCAAAAAAACAAACAAACAAAAACCAACCAAACAACAAAAACCCCAATGCAAAACAAGCAAAAAACCTAAAAACCTTCTTAAGAATACAAGAACATTCTTTCTATTGAACTCAAAAGCTCCCTGTGATATAGATTGTCTTTTTGCACCTGAATTGTGCAGCACCTTGCACTGTCACATTCTGATACATGGCTAATGGTCCTAAGTATGACAATAAAAATGTCACTAGCGCATGACAACTTAAATGGAAACTTTTCACTGTATCTAGA